ACCAAAGGTTTGAAAAAAAAGGTTAAATCCCCGATTCAGTCCCTCAACTTTTATTTTTGAACTAAATTTACCTTTGAACTTAAAAAAATACTAAAAAAATCTTTCCTTTAATAAATAAAAATTTCTTTTTCTTCTTTTTTCTTTCCTTTCCTTTTTTTTTTTCTCCTTCTCTTTCCTTTTCTCCTTCCCCTCAGAATTACACAAAGAATCTCACCCTATTAAACCCCAGAACAGGACTTTCCTTAAATCACGCACGTCAATTTGTCATCTTGATCGTTTCCCCACCAATGGAGTCCGAGGCCTCCAGTTCTACGCCACAGAACAACCACCGTCGCCGTCGGGACCCGACCCAGCCTCAGCCATGGTTCAAACCAACGCAACCTGTTGCCGATCGCATCGCCCGCGCCCTGCGTCACAGGCTCCTGCTCCTGCATAGATATGATTCCAGTTTCTTCGTCTTGGGTGCCACTGGGAATGTTTACACCGTTGCATTATCCGCCACGCCTTCGTGTACATGCCCTGATCGCACCACCCCCTGCAAACACATACTCTTTGTCTTGATTCGAGTATTGGGAGTTCCTCTCGGCGACGTGTGTCTCCGTCGACGGACTCTCAGGCCATGCCAGCTTAGCCGCTTGCTTGACACGCCGACGTTGCCAGAGTCACCAGCCCGAGCTTCTTTGCGAGAGAAGTTTCATCAGCTATTTTTTAGAGCAAATCGGGGCGAGTCAAGATCAGAGATCGGGGAAATTGAAGAAGGGACTATGTGTCCCATCTGTCTCGATGAAGTAGAGAAAGGGCAGAGAATAGCGGCCTGTGCGACGTGTCGAAACCTGATTCACGAAGAATGCTTGATAAGGTGGAAGAGAAGCTTGCATACCCATCAAATCTCTACTTCCATGAGACAAATCTGATCTTTCTACCATCTTTCAATGGTATGGATTGAACTCTAGTCAACAAAGCAAAAGTGGGTTTTTGTTTTCTCCTTCTAAAAACCAAGAAAAATTGTTTCTTTCTTGGATTTCCTTTCTTTATTTTATTGACATAGTAAAAATCTAACCTTGAAAGCTGTAATGGGTTAATGGGGATTGCAAGTGATTTACATTCTCTCTTCTTTTGTATAGGAAAAACTCCCAGGAGAAGATCAGGATGCTCAGTTTGAAAGTTCAAGACTCATAGAGCAGGATGGCCTTGTTAGGCTTGCCAAGACTCATAGATCAGGAACCCAGGCGCTGGTGCTGGGTTCCTTCGAACCCAGTAGAGAGGGGAAGGAGAAAAGGAAAGTGAAGGAGAAAAAAAAAGGAAAGGAAAGAAAAAAGAAAAAAAAAGAAATCTTTATTTATTAAAGGAAAGAGTTTTTTAGTACTTTTTTAAGTGCCAAGGTAAATTTAGTTCAAAAATGAAAGTTGAGGGACTGAATCGGGGATTTAACCTTCTTTTTTCA